TTTCCGCGAGCTTGCACTTGTGGAAGGTACTCTTTTGACCAGCGATTCCAGAAGGTTTGCATGAGGTTCTGTACCAACTTCCAACGCTTAAGCCCGTTTGTCGGTGCCCCAGAGACGTCTGGTTCATCTGGAATCAGCATTGGGCCTCCGATTAGGAAATGAGCCGGTGTTAAAGCTTCAATCTCGGATGGATCACTGCTAAGCGGAGTAATAGGTCTTGAGTTTAAGCAAGCTTCTATTTGGCAAAGGAGAGTACGTAACTCTGTGCTCGTAAGTTTGTGTTCCCCCATTACTCTTTTTAAATGATGCTTGGTGCTCTTTACTGCACTCTCCCAAAGACCTCCAAAATGTGGCGCTGAGGGAGGGTTAAAATGCCATTCGATACCTTCTTTTAAAACTTGGTCACTAGTTTTTCTCATAATCGATACGAGTTCCTTCTGGGTTCCCACAAAATTTGTGCCATTGTCACTGTAGATCTTGGCACATTTTCCTCGCCGGGCCATGAAACAGCGTAGAACAGCCAAAAATGAAGGACTAGAGAGATCTTCAGCAAGTTCTAAATGCATAGCCTTTGTAGAAAAACAAACGAATATGGCAATCCACGCCTTTTTTGCGGGGACTCGTCTCAAACCGCTGCGTACGTAAACAGGCCCAGCAAAATCAATGCCCGTAATTGTGAATGGTCTCGCACATTGAAGACAGTCTTTCGGAAGTGCTGCCATTAGTGGTTGGTCAAATCGAGGGCAAGCTCTTATGCACTTGATACACAGTCGTACTACTGCTCGTGCATTTGCTCTGCCCAGTAAGGGCCAATATTGACGTCTTACTTCAGATAGCAATGTTTGAGGTCCAATGTGAAGAAGTTCGCGGTGATACGATTCAAAAATCATAACTGTGATCTTATGAAAAGAAGGAAGAACAATGGGATGTTTACGGTTTTCATTTATGGTTGAATTTTGCAATCTTCCGCCAACGAGTATCAATCCATTTTTTAAAAATGGATTTAAGCACCGTAACTTACTGCTTTTTGGCACTTCCTGTCTCTTTTCCAGTGCTATGAACTCCTTACGAAAGCATTCTTGCTGAACTATTCTTAACACTGTCAGCCTAGCCTCTCTCAGTTCTGATATCTGGAGCTGCCGTGGCTCTCTGGCACCTTTATCCCCTTTGATGTACCTTATATACCTTCTTAATCAGGAGATTCCTCGCAGCATGCGGTTCCATTCAGAATATTGGTTGATCATATGAACCACTGGATTGATTGCTATTAACACCAATTTCATCTTGCGAACTTCAGGTAGTTCTTCTACATCTTTCCTTAACGTGGGTTGAATTTGCCAACTTAGGTGATCTTCCTCCAACCATTCGGGTCCGCTCCACCAGGTGTCTGCTGTGATCAATTCTGCCGGAGTTATCCCTCGAGATATTATATCGGCAGGATTGTCATAGGTACGCACATGTCGCCATTGATCCACTTCTGTTAGCTCTAATATTTGATTCACTCGATTCGCTACAAATGTTTTCAATCTTGAGGAGTGACTATTAAGCCATCCTAAAACTATCATCGAATCAGTCCACAAGTAAATGGTTGCAGTGCCTATGTCCCATGAATCTGCCACCTTTGCTGCTAGTTGCGCTAAAAGCAATGCTCCACTTAGTTCAAGTCGTGGGATAGTAGCTCCCTTCAATGGAGCCACTCGTGATTTTGAGCATAAAAGACGCGAGTGCCATTTACCAACTTTATCTAGACTTCGCACATACATACATGCTCCATATGCCTCGATCGATGCATCACAAAATCCGTGTACTTCGACATTGTCACTTGGATGAGGTTTACATTTGCGAGGAATGCTAAGATGTTTTAGTGATTCCAATCCAGCATAGTAGGTTTTCCACTTTTCTTGAATATCCACTTCTAGTTTTTCATCCCAGTTTATTTTTAACTGCCATAACTGCTGAAGGAATATTTTTCCTATAATGAGTACGGGACCCAAAAATCCTAATGGATCAAATACTTTGTTCAAGTCTGATAAAAGCTTTCTTTTGGTAAGATTTGATCTGCCTGCCGGGATCGTGATGCTAAACCTGAATTGGTCAACAAATGGCTGCCAACAAAGCCCTAAAGATTTTATAATATCTCCGTCTCCCAGATCCAGTATGAAAAGCGAATCATTGTGGTCCTTGCCTATCCTTGCGATAATTGCTGGCGAATTGGAACACCACTTACGCAGTGGTAATTTTGCTGAGTTCAGGATACTGGCTATGCCTTCATGCAATTGCATACATTCATCCTCAGTGTCACAGCCAGTCATCAGATCGTCCATGTAAAAGTCACGTAAGATGACTTCCGCAATCTTGGGGCTCCTCTTCCTTGCCTCCTCTCCGAGCACCACAAGGCATTGCGTTGCCATGAAGGAAGCCGGTGTTGTTCCATACGTTACAGTAGCTAAAGCGTATGCCCGAAGTGCTTCATGAGGATGATCACGCCAAAGTATCTGTTGTAAATGCCGATCTTCTTCTGCGATCATAATCTGCCGGAACATTTTTTCAATGTCGGCTGTCAATACATATTGATGTTTCCGAAATCTTGTCATAATGGAAAAAATGTCTTCTTGTACAGTCGGACAGCGCTTCAACACGTCATTGAGTGAGGTGCCACTCGAAGTTCTGGCGGAAGCATCAAAGACCACTCTAGTCTTAGTGGTTAGGCTGGATGTTTTTATGACTGGGTGATGTGGCAAATAACAAGCGTCCTGTGAAGCGATCACTTCGTGCATATGGCCCATGTTTATATACTCTGTCATGAAATTGATGTACTCTTTTCGCAAGTGATCATCACGCTGTAGTCTTCTTTCGATGTTTATAAATCTTGAGGTTGCCATTGCTAGACTGTTTCCCAAACTTCTGTGTTCTTCTTTTTTTGGCAAACGTAAAACCAATCGACCATCTTGGTCCCGCTGAAATGTATCACGGAAATGTTGAAGTGTTTCTTCCTTTTCCTGCGAACGTTGGTTTGCCTTAGATAAGCGTCCAAAGCATGTCTCCTCACTTTCAGTTATCGCTCTCCAATTATCTTCTAGCGATTCTCCTACCGTACGAATTCCTGCTAAGCACACCGTCCCTAGCTCACCAGTGACTAGCCACCCAAATTGACTGTCGTTCAAACATATATTTTTTACATTTAATGGTCTTCGTACAGTTGTAGTTGAAGTTATGTCAAAAAATACTCCCCCGCCGATTAGCAGGTCTACAGCACCAGGGTTGTAAAAATAAGGATCTGCTAAATCAGATAGTAATTCCTTTGGGATCTGCCAACCCCTTGGTGGATTTGGACATGCTGGTAATTTGCTGACAATTGTTGGTAGAACATAGCATACTAGTTTCACTCTATAATTTCTTAATCTTGACTGAATTGAAACTTCAACGTACGACAATGCTTGGACCCGGCTTTCTCCAATTCCACTCACCGGAAGCGATGACTTTTTGGATTGTAGTTGTAATTTATTTGCTAAGTTTCCAGAAATGAAATTTACTTGCGAGCCACTGTCCAAAACTGCTCTGCACTTCTTCTGATTTCCAGATCTGTCTCCGGCCAGAATCAGCGCGGTAGACAAAAACACGTATCCTTGCTCCGATCCATCCACGAATGAAGCAGGTGCTGAAATATTAGAATCTTGTGACGAGTTGGATTGTTTTTGTGCGTCTAGCTGCTGGACTTGGCCTTCAACTCCTTCTGTCGAGCCTGTTGATTTCTCGAAGTGCAATAACGTATTATGATTGCGCTTGCATATTCGACAACTATAGGTAGATCGGCACACGGTCGCCATATGATTCGGGTTAAAACAATTAAAACATAACCTCGAGTCTCTTACGAATGTCACACGATCACCTACTGACAATTGCTTGAATTTATTGCACGCATATAATTTATGCTCATCAGAACAGCATGGGCATTTTATGGCTCTTTCGGTTGATATGAAAAGACCTTTTTTTGAATTGTTGCTCTGGTGGGATTTTTTCATTTTGAGATCATTTGCTGAATGACTATCTTTATCTCTTTCAGAGCTTACAAATAACCTTTCAGTTGATTCTAATGCGATGCACCTGTTCGTTAAAAAACTTTCTAACTCAGCGTACCTTGGCAGTTCTGTGTTGGTGCGCCGAAGCTGCCAGTCTTGACTCGTGGACTGATCTAACTTTCTTAGAACCACTGTCACGAGCCAAGCATCCCAATGCTGAATGGGCTGATCCAGAGCTGCAAGAGCAGCAACGTGCGCTGAAACGTTTGAATGTAGCGTTTGCAACTGCATACCTGCGGCTGACTCAACTTGATGGCAGTCCAGAATTGTAGAGGCAGAAATGTAGAGGCAGCAGTACACGGAAAAAAATATTCTAATGCTTATATTTTAATTAATGTATCTATACAGATAACCTTTTAGAATAGTTGGGAGTACTAAATGAAGAATGTTGGAAATATTGTGTTTCAACAACATAAATATTATAGTTATCCTAATAAAAATAATAATTATGTTAGTTCTATTATTTTAAAACGGCCTCATATAGTATATCTAACCATACAAAATAGTCATAGCAACAATGTGTTATGTTTGTAATAACATAATAATTAGATTAGTTCTATTATTTTATAGGGCCTCATATAGTGAATCCAACCATCTTAAATAGTTACTGCAGCAATGCATTATACTTATTGTACAATACAAGATTTTTTCCTGGGTTTATTTCTTCAAAATCCAATTCAATCTATAATTGTATGTAGGTTCTTAATTGATGTACAATATTATAATGTTAATAGGCCATTAGGTGGTACCCTAAACAAACAATATTATTAAGATTATGTATACTATTATTTATATTTTATTCTAACCAGAGTAAACCCAAGTGAACTTTTAAGTGCATAATATTCAGGAAGTTCAAATAGTAAGCAATTAAAATATGATTTTTAACTTCAAAAAATGGTAAATAATAATTTAATTATGTACCTAAGCCATAATTATACTAGTATGGATACCTTTATTATTTATGGCTAATTGTTCTTTACCTATTGTATCCAATTCATTTCTTATACCATCCGATTGCTTCGTGCTATTTCTGATTTCCTTTCGCATATTACAGTATTTATCCCATAATTTCCCATGAGCAGGAGTAAGTTTATTTGATAATTTTTTGTAGAGGGTATAATATGTTTCTTTACTTTCATTAGGGAAGAGGAATGCTATAGCATGAGATAGCTTCTTTAATGAATCTGTGGATATTTTTTTTTCTGCATTGTTTCCAAAATAATGATTAATTAGTAAATTACTTGATTTATTTAACATTTACCTATGAAGTTGGACGAACCAAATAATGAGAACCTTTTGTATGGTTAGATTTTTTTTTGTCTTACCATACATTATTGTTGCACTAACCATAAGGCAACAATTTTCGTTAGCATTAACAACTAATAGGTTATGGGCTGTGTAACAATGTATGATGTTTGGCCACCTACAATAATTCCAACTATTTACTATAACAAAATTAATTTTTTCCGTGTAGTGAGGATAGATGTGTGAACATCAGTGATTGGTTGTCCACTGCCTGGCCTGTTCTTATTTTGAATAGAGTATAGTATTACCTAAGCCTATGTGCTTGTTTGAAGTTTATAATTTCAAATTTTTTTAATTCCGTTGTCATTAGAGATGGAGAATCTAGATGATATTTACACGTATTATTCACCACCACCAGTCATTCACCGCCGATCAATTAAAACCCTGCATCAACAGGTTAAAGACTGAACTATACTAACCAGATAAAAAATATGTGGAGTAGAACAGATTTAATGAATACTTAATATTATGTAAACCAGTGTTTCTTAAATACATAAACACTTCTTAACGGAACACCATACAATAATATTTTTTTATGCGAAAATTATTTTAAGGTACACAAAACATGCCGATAAACACCAACTAAACTATAAACTAAAATACTAAATACTGCAAAATGCCATACTGTAATTATTGACTATTATGTTTTATTAAAATTACAATAATATAGATTTTTTAAAAGTGCTTTTTTGGATATTTTGGAAAATAACTATAGAGTATTCATTATTCTTGCCACCCGAAAATCACAATCGTACTAATTTTTGTTTATTGTTACATAGGAAAATTGAATTCACTTATTTCACACTTCACAGTCGTCTTCTTAAGAGTGCTCACCAATTTTATTACCTACTCAATCATTGAAATAGACTACCAACAATGGCGACCGTAGACAAAAGTGTAAGTATTAACACAAGTTGGACTAAAGCGCGCTATAAACTATAACACGAGTTATGGCTTAACTTTTCGAAAGTAACCTAACCTAACATCCCTAACTGGTCCCGTTTGTACCTCACCCGTTTCGATGTGTGGCCCAACGAGACGTATGTTCTCACCTCGTGTTCGCGTCCCGGGTCGGCGTCGTGGCCAAACAATTTCCTATTCTTTTTAATTTTTATAATTTAGAGTTTCACGGTGTAAGCTCTTGGCCCAAATGACTAAGGTGTTATTTTTCATTGATGCGCGCAATTGTTTACTTCACAAGATGTATCTATCTCCGTCTCGTTAAGCAATCGAGATTTTCGAAACTGCATCAGTTTTGCGTACCCGTGGACAATGGCGTCGTCTGATACCGAATTAAAGCTCGTTTTGACTATAATATAAATATACTGTCGCGCGAAATTTACGACTTTTATTATAATATACCTATACCCTACCCACCAATCAATACTAAAATAACGTAAATTAAATGTATTACAGGATACAAATACACATGATAATATAATTAATCTAATAGTACTTGGAGAAGATATTCCAGATATTCCAATAGTACATTTTAGAATGAAAAAAGACGCCTTGATGAAAAAACTTATGAAGTCATTTTGCGAAAGAGCTGTAAGTATATTCTATTAAAAACTATTTTATTTTATTGGAACCATTATAATATTTACCGTGAATTGTTTAATTTTAAACAATTTATATCATTCCAATCTAACTTATATGGAAATACTGTACAAAGTATAAACACTATAGTTTATAATTTAGTTTTGTGTTTTAAAAAAATTAAGTTTAAACTTTTAACTTTTTGTTATTCGTGCATATTAACCTTAACTGAGTTAAAAAAAATCATTAACTGGCCCAGCCTTGCTAAATTATGACTACTACTGATTGTTAGCACACTAGAAATGGTTATACCCGTGTTAATTGCGCATAACCATTTCAATTTTGTGGAGAGTAAAACCTCCAAAAAGTAGCCTTATCATCAACTTTATTTGTGTAAGAGTATGTCTAGGAAGTTTGGTAGTAGCGAGTAGCAAGTAATAGTTGCTCAATGTAACCGGGGTTTACTATTTTATTAGCAAAATATAAATATATTCAGTAGTAAACATAAGCCATGCGCCATAAGCCATAAGCCATGCCATCAGCGAGTTGTTGTCCACTGCCATGTCAGTTCTTATTTTGAATAGAGTATAGTATTAACTAAGCCTAAGTGCTGGTTCAATGTTTATAATTTCAATATTTTTTTAATTCATTTAAAATTGTAATATTTTAGGGATTGGAAATGGCTACCTCAAGATTTCGAATCGATGGCATCGTTATCAATGAAGTTGATTCTCCATTGTCACTAATGTTGAAAGAATGGGATATAATTGAAGTCTTTCAACAGCAGTCTGCAGGTGGTCTAAACATTAATTATTAACTACTTATTGTTTTATATAATATATCACATTAAATGTATATCATCTTAGTTTTTTAAACCTCAATTCCATACAATGTCTATTATCTACAAAGTTGGCCGTATTAAAACAATTGTTACAAATAATACAAATTTATAATCAACCAGGAGGATTTCAAGAATAAACTACATAAACCAGAAAAATATGAGGTATAGAACAGATTTAAAATATTTAAGGAATAACTTATATTATGTAAACAGTTTAATATGTACAATTATTATTATTATTTCATATTTCTCTATCTTAATAATTAACTTTTGATATCATTAATGAGATTTTTTAGTTTGTTTTATTATTTTAAATGATTCATTAAAATGTGTAAATGCTACTATAATGATTGTTATAATCAAAATTATATATTCAATCCGATTCTTAAAAGGTGTTCCATATATTGTATACATTAGGCTATGTTGAGCAGGGACATAATTCACTCAATAAAAATAAAAATCTTCATTATAGTCTTCAATACATAAATATTTTCGTTTTTTTAATTCCTTAAATATAATTAAAACGATTTTGAGAAAAATGAAAATATTTTAACACTATGGCTTGGAACCCAAGTTTTAAACACACCTATTACCTATATTTTCTATTAGTAAGAGAACCTACCAGCATCTATTATTTCCATCTTACAATGGTACATTTTTTTTTTAATTTTAATGCAAGGCACCTCGTTAGTACGTTTTCTCGTTGTCTAAGATGTTTCCAACAGTTGTACAATTTCCTGGGGGAAATCCGTTTAATACAGCCACTGTTTGAAAAGTAAGTTACTTAATACTGATAAAATGGTAAAGTAAATATATAACTAATGCTTCTATATTGCTTTATATTGATTGGACCAGTAATTTTAATATTGCAATGTCTTTAAAACTCATACTAGTTGTGTATTACCCTTATGTCCAGACAGAAAATTATAGCAATTAGATACTTTCATTAATGTAAGGCTGTAGCTAAAAATATATAATGGTTTTGTTCTACATTTTTACTTAATAGTACTATGAAATATATTTCTATTTTAAATTTAAAGGTACTTACCTACTTTGATTCTTTTGTAACTATAGGTAACTTAATTTAAGTACTACAATTTAGTAACTCCCTTAATTTGAAACTTGTTAAAGTTAATTTTATATATATTTTTAATTGCTTTAGTCATTAATTAAAATATACAAAGTATGGTTGATTTTAAAACACTTTTACTTTGACAACTGAGCAACCAGAAGATTAAATTAAATACTCAATGATTTGAAATCTATTATAACCTCAGTATTAGCTTTACTGTCAAAAGTTTTGGAAGATGTATGTTTAATTCTAACTATAGCAATTCCTTAATTGCATAAAATTCAGGTATTATATTTAATTTTACCATTAAATACCTGTCAATGAATTATAAGTTATAACTAAGGCTTGGAACTATTAATGCACTTAAAAAGTACTAAAACATAAGCCTGCACTTATGCACTTAAAAAAACTACAAATAAACTTTAAAAAATGCACTTATTTTTTTTTCAACTTAACTTTTTCTTAAATACAACTATTTTAGTAATTTATACATAAAAACAGTACAAATATTTTACTCAACTAATCATAATTACCATGTATAAATATAAGATAAAATAAAATAAATAAATGTCTTGAAAAATGTTCTTGAAATAAAATTAATTTTCTTCTAAAATGTTCCCATTAAATTAAATAAATGTAAAGCTAAAGCATTAATAAAAATTAGAAAAAACTTGGAATTTGAGAATCGTGATGCAATATAATACCTAATGAAAACTCAAAATAAATATTTATTTTTTTCTTTATTGCAACATTTTTAATTTCAAATTGTATTACCAATTTATCATTAATCATTAACTATCCTCTAAAAATTGATAAAATTATAAAATTAATAAATATATGATCAAAATTACAGTCACTAAATATGCAAAAATATGCACTGTAAAACTTTTCATATGTTTTTCGTCTTGTGAAAATCATTTCAAGCTTACTTAGCAATAATTTGAATAGCCCAATAAAAAAATGCAAATTCGACAACTTCTGAGCCCTAATTATAACTATTGATATAGGTATTTTTAGCCATACAAGTTTTTTAATTTAATTTAAATTTCTTTTTTGTAAGCAACGTATATTTAATATTGTTTACTTACGTTTCTTGTTAATACCTAAATGTTAAAACTAATTGTTGTATAAAGTTAAAAAAAAAAAACTACCTACCTATACTTATAATTTTTTCATGACTTAAATTAAAGGTATTTCTCTAAATATAACCTTGTATGCATTTTATTATACTTAATAAATATTAAAATATGATTTAAATTTTAAATTTTAGGTATTGCCACTATCAATATTATATATATTAATGATATCTACAAATAACTATTGTCTAAAATGTGTGGATGTTACATTTTATTATGTGGGACAATCACTCACAACGGTATTTATACGAGATAAATATTTCAATTTTATTGACATTGAACATAAACAATAACACATAATGATTTATTTCCATTGTTAATTATTCAAATAATGAATCGTTCTATGTAAGATCGTTTATTTGAG